TACTGCTTCCATATCAGAAGTGTCAGATGGAGCAAACATAGACTGAACCATGAACTTGTGTTTACTTTTCTCATTGGGATCATAATCGAAAGGCTGTAACATCACTGAGAAAGAAAATATTTCATTAGGAGGGTCAGAGCTTGGTCATCAGTGCCATTTGTTATGCCAATACCTGTACTTAGGTCGTGAAGCAGCTTACCAGCATTCTCTCATCTGACCCTCAGGACACCCCTGGTGACGTAAGCAAGAAGTGACCAACACCTTCTCCATTTTTCAGGTCACCAACCTAAGGTCCAGGAAGGCTGGGGACTTGCCCAAGGTCAGACAGCATGTAGTGTCAGAGCTGGGAGAAGGGCCTGTCTTCTGATTCCTAGTCCACTGACAATTTTCACTCCCACAGACGTCTATGACGGGCCTTACGGAATCAGTAAACTGTGTAAAACACCATATGCCTGTTTTGCTGAAGAAAACATATCCAAATGGTCTTTTCAGGAACTAAAATAAAATAATCTAAGATGTTTAAGAACGTTTAAGAAACTGTTTTAGCTTCTCTCCACCCCATTTCCCATATAGCTAATCAAGGTAATGCTTGAAATACAATTTTGCCAATAGAATGCTAGAAAATGTTCACAACCAGGACATTCACATAGAAGGGAAAAAAACACCACCAGCTTACAGCCCCCACCCTTGTCCCTCAGAATGGAGAGGAATGGCACAGAGGAGACTGTGCCTGAGTCCCACCCACTGCACTGAGGGAGGTGCCTGCCCACTCCGACTGGCTTCCTTCCGCCCACTTCCTGGAGCAGACGAGGGCCTACTCCTGTTAAGTGACAGCTGCTTTAAATATGTTATTTGCTATTAATACGAGGCTTTGGCTAAACCACAAATCTAATTAACTTCCCTGAAACATAACTTCACGTGCAGGAAAAGCCTACTGTGGCTGCAGTTGCCAGAGCCAGTGTGGACTTAGTGTGGCCGTGTGCAACTGCTGCTCTGTTCCCAGTCCACTGCTCTGGAGAGCTCTGAAGATGAACGAGGATTATTTGTAAAGAGCCCTGATGCTCAGGTGACAGTAATCTGAAGACCACGCTTGTTTTTAGAGAAGCTAGCACTTTGCGTAAAACGTAAAACTGATGGGTCCAGGGAACAGAGCCCACCCCAGATGAGCAGCTGCAGGAAGCTCGGCCTTCTCTCCCTGTCTTCTCCACCTTCTCAGAGTCGGTGCAAAGGAGGGGGCAGCCGAGAGCACTCTGCCAGAGCTCTGCCTAGGTTCCAGGCACACCCCAAGGCGAAACAGCCCCTTCCTCTTCATCTCTCCACCACCTCCACCTTCCCCATCCCAAGTACCTTCACAAAGCCCAAGAAGGAAAGAAAGGAAAACAATCTTTCTTAGTGCCTACTCCATACCAGGTACCACAGAAGGCACACTCCCTCAGTTCTCCCACTTAATCCTCACAACAATCCATCAAAGAAGCTCATGTCCATTTTCTAGATAAAAAGATAAGGGCTTAGAAAGGCTAAGTGGCCTTACTTGGGTCCCATGGCCAGCACATGAAGCAACAGTGCCAATGCTCCAACCTGGCCTTACACACCACAGGTTCTCAAGCGGGATCCAAAGACCCTGAGGGTCCCCCATGGGGTGATTCCATGAAGTCAAAATTATGGTCATGGCCAGGCACGGTGGCTCACGCCTGTGATCCCAGCACTTTGGGAGGCTGAGGCGGGAGAATTGCCTGAAGCCAGGAGTTTGAGACCAACTTGGGCAACACAGCAAGCCCCTGTCTCCACCAAAAAAAATAAATACATAATTATCGGGTCATAGTGGCACATGCCTATAGTCCTAGCTACTCAGGAGGCTGAGGTGGAAGGATCACTTGAGCCCAGGAGTTTGAGGTTACAGTGACCTATGATCGTGCCACTGCACTCCAGCCTGAGTAACAGAGCAAGACCCTGTCTCAAAAAAACAAAACCAAAAAAAAAAAACAAAAAACCATCACTGTAATGCCGAGACATTGTACGCCTTTTTCACCATGCTGACGCTTGCAGTGATGGTGCAAAAGCAATAGAGGTGCCTTAGCATGAGTCAAGGCTGCGGAAGAGAATGGTGCTTCTCACCATTGTACTATGCACCACCACACCCGCTCAGCTTAAAAAAAAAAAAAAAAAGCCAGTTTCATTTAATATCCTTGATGAAGCAATAAAAGGCGTTAATTTTTACTAAATTTTGACCTTGACAACACATATGACAAAATGGCACTTTTCCCGAAGTAGGACAGCTGTCTTGGGACAAGCACAGGGGCAGTGGTTTGAACTGCGAACTGAACTTCCGCATGGAATACCATTTTTACTTGAACAAACAACTAACAGATAAACTCTAGTTATTCAGAACCGGGTATACTGCATATATTTTCTTGAAAATGAATGAAGCCTGTAACTACAAGGAAAACAACTCATAGTAGTTGTTGCCAATGATAAAATCCAGGCTTTCAAGGAAAAATTATAATTGTGGGAAACTATTACATCTGATACCAAGAGCTTCATAGTTTCCCAAAGACTTCTCTGATGAGATCAGTGTGAATAGTAATAAATATAATTTTTGGATACTGTACAATAAAACGTGTCGACATTTGAAAGACCTGTATGACTCAACTAAAACTCCAAACGATCCACGCATGATACTACAAAATCCATTGAAAATGCAAGAGAGACTGATGTATTTTGGTGAAACAAAGTTCAGAAAGCTCACAGACATGATTTCAGATTCCACTCCACACTAATAGCATTTTAAGAAAGTACCCATGTCAAGTATTGGTGTAATATCAAAGAAGAATGCCCAGAATTACCTGCAAAGTCTGTGAGACACACGCTTCTCTTTTCCAACTACGTATCTGTGATGAAAGCACCTTTTCTTTACATATGTTCACCAAAAGAACACATCATAACAGACTGAGTGCAAAAGCAGACATGAGAGTACAGCTGTCTTTTATTAAAACAGACATTAAAGAAATTTGCAAAAATTGTCAAATAATGTCAGTCTTCTCACTGATTTTTTGAAAATAGTTATTTTTCATTAAAAACGTTACTCTGATAATGTGATTTGTTATTCTCAAATGAATAATTTTTTAATTTTTCAGTTCAGTTTTTAATATGATATCAATACAACCACAAATAAAAAAGATTTGGGGGTCTTTTTTTTTTTAAGAGATAGGGTCATGCTATACTGCCCGGGCTGTCCTTGAACTCTTTAAGCAATCCTCCTGCCGCAGTCTCTGGAGTGGCTGGAACTACTGACAAATGCCACAGCGCTCATCTGGGTCTTCAGTTTCCAAGAGTGTAAAGGGGTCCTGAGACCAAAAGGTTTGAGGACTATTATTCTACACCAAGCTGCCTCAGAGTGCCCTCCAGGAGGAAAACAATCTGATTAAATAATTTAAGTGAACACACTGGCGGCTTTGCGTAGTACCCCTTTTGGGAGAATCTGCGGTTTAAAAAGAGAAAGGAGCTTTACACAAACCAAGCCTGGGGTTTTCGGATGTACCAGGCTCTTGGGTGGCAGCAGAAGCACGTGTGCACGTACACCCATCCCTCACGGAGGGAACTGGGGTTCCCTGTGCTCCTCTAATCGAATGTCTTTGCCAACTGCTTGCTCTGCCTCTGCAGAAGGGTGCTGTCTTTGATCCACTGCCACCTCACTGGGGACCTTACAGTTGTCAGCAGCACAAGTCCAGGCCCACGACATCCCTGCCAAGTCATCACAGTGTAGATCTGGAAGGACCATTTAACGGGGCATGGGAGAAGATGAAAACAGGAATGCAAGCACACAAAGCAGTGGGTACCGGTGGTTACCAAAGACTCACTGTAAGGGAACACTGTAGAGGGCCTGAGGCGGCAGGTCAAACAGCCCTCCTGCAAAGCAGAGGACCCTCGAGATGGAACCACAGACGCCAAGAGGCACGGGTGAGGCTGGCGAGTGGAAACCTTTCAACTGGCAATAAACCCATGGCCTGAAGCTCGTGAACGTTCAGGAAGCTCTGGGTGTGAGGTGGACACTCAGCCCTTCCCCAACGACAACGACTCTCCTCCCACCTGGAGCAGCAAGCGGAGAAGGTGTTTGCCACCCACCGGCTCTCCTTGGCTTGCGGGCTCCCAGATCGGCAAGCCCGAGTGAGGAAGTCAGGTGGCCACCCAGACGCTGTGAAACGTCACAGACCGTCAGAGCACCTCAGTATCCACGCCCTGCTTATCAGGGCCCCTAACTCACATCAAAAATTTGGATTTTTCGCTACTATCATCTCATGTCAGACTCAATCTGCTATACCCTACTAGCTGGCACTTTATGAGAACATGATAGAATAAACGTTGCTAATCGTTTGTTCTTTCGGCTCCATACATGCAAATTGTGACAGAAATTATGTACTTTTTTCCATGACAGGCTATAAAAGAGCTTCTCATTAACTTAATTTATTTCACTTGAATACCAGAGACACTGATGATAAAACCCTCTTAACTGAACCATCTATCCTACTTTTAAAACGTATCTGCTGATACTACATTAAAAAGAGGCTTGTTACCAGGAGACAGCCTGGAGACAGGGTCACTGCTCAGCCACATTAACGCTTTGTGACACAATGCCTGTTGCATTACAGATTGCAAACGTGGGATCCTGTTAAGAAAGGGCCTTTGGGGTCATAAAACATTGGATCAATAAGATCAGACTTTTTTCAATAGAGAAGAAATGCAATCTATATGCTACTTAAAACATACGCACTCCTTAGAGAAATGATGACTTGATTAAATACAGCATAAATGCTGCTTCTGAGAACCCAAGCAAGTCACAGATCATTTTCATCTGCATCATAACGGTAACAGAGCAAATGAATAAAAGTCTAACAAGCACCATGGCACATGCTTCCTTTTTTTTTAATCTCAGAATTTTATCTTCAAAACGTCTCTCTCCACATTTTACAGGCCCGCAATCTCAGCTCAGGCCCCAGTGACTCATTTCTAGATTTCTGCCAAGTAGGAGATTTTCTGACATGCTCCCAGTTTCTTTCTCATCCAAATTACCCTGCATAGCCCCTAATAAGCTCCAGAAATGTAATCT